CTCAAGATTTCTAGTTCTTCCTGCTTCAGTCTTGAGAGGTTGTATTTTTCCAGGAATTTATCCATTTCCTCTAGGGTTTCTAGTTTATTGCCATAGAGGTGTTTATAGTCATCTCAGATGATCTTTTATATTTCTATGTATTAGTTATAATGCCACCTTTATCATTTCAGATTTCATCCCTGAGGAACATAGATGCAAAAATCCTCAACAAAATACTGGCAAATCAAATCCAATAGTGCATTAAAAAGATAATCCATCACAAATGAGTGGGTTTTATTCCAGGGATACCAGGATGGTTCAATATCCACAAATCAATAAATGTGAGTCACGACACAAACAAAATTAAAAACAAAAACCACTCCTATTCAACATAGTACCAGAAGTATGAGCCAGAGCAATCAGGCAAGAGAAAAAAATAAAAGGCATCCAAATTGTCAAGGAGGAAGTCGAACTATTTAAATTGATGTAGAAAGGCATTCAATAAAATCTAACATCCCAACATATTGGCTATGGATTTGTCATATATGGCTCTTATTATTTTGAAATATGTTCCTTCAACAAATCCATAGCCAACATCTTATGTAATGTGCTGAAGTTGGAAGCGTTCCCCCTAAGAACTGGAACAAGACAAGGAGGTCCACTCTCACCACCCCTATTCAACAGAGTACTGTAAGTGCTAGCCAGAGTAATCAGACAAGATAAAGAAATAAAAAGGCATCCAAATTGGCAAGGAAAAAGTTGGGTTTTGGGGTGGTACAATTCAGGGTTAAGTATACAAATGATCATTATGCAAGTACCCTTGTTGATGAGGTGTGCCCCACCCCAGGCAGAATCCCACTACTGCCAATCCCGAACCCCCCCACTACTGGCAATTTCCCACTACTGATAATCCTTTTCTTATAGTATTAAAGATAATTGTTCAAAGTCCACTTAAGAGTGAGAACATGTGATACTCAATTTTTGTTTCTGTGATAGATCACTCAGTATTATAGACTCTAAATCCATTTAAGTTGCTGTGAAGTTCATAATTTTGTCCTTCTTTATGGCTGCATAATATTCCATTGTGTATATGTACAACATCTTTTTTTTGTTGTTTTTTGTTTTGTTTTGTTTTGTTTTTTGAGTTGGAGTCTCACTCTGTCACCCAGACTGGAGTGCAGTCGCCACTCTCGGCCACCACAGCCTCAACCTGCTGGGCTCTGGAGATCCTTCCGCCTCAGCCTTCCAAGTAGCCGGAATTACAGGCATGCACTACCACGCCTGGCTGATTTTTTGATTTACTGTAGAGCTGAGGTCTCGCTGCCCAGGCAGGTCTCGAACCCGCAGGCTCAGTCAATCCACTCACCTCAGCCTACCAAGGGTGCGGGATTACAGGCTGAGCCACCGAGCCTGGCCACAACATCTTTTTTATCCAATCCTCCTTCAATGGGCAGCATGACTGGTTCCATGTTTTTGCTATTGTGAACAATGTTGCAATAAACATTCGTGTGCAGGTATCTTTTTTATAGAGTGATTTGAGTTCCTCTGGATGTACACCCAGAAGGGGATTACAGGGTCATATGGAAGGGGAATTGCAGGGTCAAATGGAAGGTCAATTTTTAGACCTTTTAGGAATCACCAAACTGTTTTCCACAGAGGTTGTACTAGTTTACACACCCACCAACAGTGTAGAAGTGTTTCCTTTGTCCCACATCCTCTCCATCATCTGCTGTTTTTTGAGTTATTGTTGATGACCATCCTGATTGGAGTTAGGTGGTATCTCAGTGTGGTTTAAATTTGCATTTCTTTGATGACTAGTGTATCTGTTGACTGCTTGTATGTCTTCTTTTGAGAAGTACCTCTTCATATATTTTGCCCACCTTGTAACGGGGTTGTTTGTGTTTTTCTTTTTGGCACGTTTGAGTTCCTTGCAGACCCTAGATGTTAGAGCTTTATCAGATATACAGTTGACATATATTTTTCCCATTCTGTGAGTCATCTCCCTGCTCTCTTGATGGTTTCTTTGGCTTTGCAGAAGCTTGTCAGTTTGATGAGGTCCCACTTGTCTATCTTATCTCTTATGGCATGGACACTTGGAGTTTTGATCAGGAATTAGTTGCCAGTTCCAACTTCCATAAGGGTGTCTCTTGCATTTTATAAGGTTTGAGGTCTTATGTTTAGGTCTTTGATCCATTTAGAGCTTACTTTTGTGTATGGTGATAGGTAGTGGTCTTGTTTTAATCTTCTGCACGTGGTCAGCCAGTTTCCCCCGCACCATTTACTGAATATGTTCTCCTCTCCCCAGTAGTTGGTGGTAGAGGCTTTGTTCCAGAAGAGTTGTTTGAAAAATTGAAAAAAAATAAAAAAATTAAAATTGAGGTTTTGCTTCTGGAATCTCTATCCTGTTCCATTGGTCTATATGCTTGTTCTTGTACCAGTACAAGACTGTTTTGATTGTTGTGCCTTTATAATAAAAGTTTAAAGTCTGGGAGTGTGATAGATCCTACTTTGTTTTTTTGTTTTGTTTTGTTTTGGTTTTGGTTTGTACTTTTTTTGCTTAGGATTGTTTTGGCTATTCGTGAATTCCTGTATTGTTCTTTCCAGGTCTGAGAAGAATGCTGCTGCTAATTTAATGGACATTGTGTTAAATCTGTGACTTGCCTTGGGTAGAATGGACATCTTAACAATGTTGATTCTTCCAATCCATGAGCATGGAATATTTTTTCCGAAAAAGATCCTGCATAGCCACATAATCTTAAATTAAAAAGAACAGATGTGGAAGTATCACAATACCAGACTTCAAATTATACTACAAGGCTGAAGTAACTAAAACAGCATGGTGCTGGTACAAAAATCGACAGATAGGTCAATGGAACAGAACAGAGAACTCAGAAATAAAGCTACATACAACAACAAACTGATATTCAACAAAACTGATAAAAATAAACAACGGGGAAAGGACACTCTATTCAGTAAATGGTGCTGGGAAAATTGGATAGCCATATGCAAACAAATGAAACTGGACCCCTATCTCTCATCATATACAAAAATGAACTCAAGATGGATTAAAGACTAAAAAGTATGACTTGAAACTATACAAATCCTAGAATAAAACCTAGGAAAAACTCTTCAGAATATAGGCCTAAATAAAGAATTTATGATGAAGACCCCCAAAGCAAATGCAACAAAAACAAAAGTAAACAAATGGAATTAAATAAACTAAAAATCTTCTGCACAGCAAATGAAATAATCAACAGAGTGAATATAAAACCTACAGAATTGAGAAAAAAATATTTACAAATTATACCTCTGACAAAGGACTAATATCCAGAATCTATAAGGAACTCAAACAACTCAACAAGAAAAAAAATAATTCTATTAAAAAGTGAGCAGAGGATATGAACAGACATTTTTCAAAAGAAAGCAACCAGCAAACATATGAAACAATGCTCAACATAACTACTCATCAGATAAATGCAAATTAAAACCACAATAAAATGCAATCTTACACCAACCAGAATGGCTATTATCATTAAAAAGTCAAAAACCAACAAATGTAGATGAAAATGTGGAGAAAAGGGAATACACTGTTGGTGGGAATGTAAACTAGTTTAACCTCTATGGAACCCAGTTTGGAGATTTCTCAAAGAATCAACAGCAAACCCATAACTAGATATCTACCCAAAGGAAAAGAAAACATATTAAAAAAGACACCTGCACTCATATGTTCATTGTAGCACTGTTTACAATAGCAAAGTGACCACTAGTGGTTGACTGGATAAAAAAAATATCCAGCTGGGCTCGGTGGCTCAGCCTGTAATCCCTCGCTTTGGGAGGCTGAGGTGAGTGAATTGCCTGAGTCCGTGGGTTCGAGACCCTCCTGGGCAACTTGGCGAGACCTCATCTCTACAATAATCAAAAATTAGCTGGGCATGGTAGCGTGTACCTGTTATTTCAGCTCCTTGGACAGCTGAGGCGGAAGGATCACCAGAGACCAGCAGGTCGAGGCTGTGGTGGCTGGGAGTGGCCACTGCACTCCAGTCTGGGTGACAGAGTGAGACTCCAACTCAAAAAAAAAAAAAATCCATATACACCATGAAATACAAACACAATCATAAAAAAAGAACAAAATCCTGTCCTTTGCAGCAACATGGATGCTAAGTGAATGAACTCAGAAACAGAAAACCAAACATGCCTTGTTCTCAGTTATATGTGGGAGCTGAGCAATGGGTGCACACAGGCATAAAGATGGAAATAATAGACACTGGGGACACCAAATGGGGGGAGGGGATGAGAATTTAAAAACTACCTACCAGGTACAATGTTCACTATTTGGCAAATGGGGACACCAGAGCCCCATTCCCACTGGTATGTACCATGCCCATGTAACAAACATGCACTTGTGCCTCCTGAATCTAAAATTAAAAAAAATAAAATAAGATGTAACCACCTTTGTATGCTAAAGCCTGAGTGTGAAAACTTACCTAATTTTCCAGATTTTGTTTCCTAAAAAGAAGAGATTAGCTTGGGATTTGTGGGGACCACTAGTAACAAGGTGACAAAAATAAAATTGATGCCTCCCCTTGTTGGATGGCCCTGCAGCACCACACATCTTTGGTTTGTTTGGCAGTGGGAGCAATTTTGTAACAAATTGATCTCTGCAGCCATCACCATATCCCGAGAGCCAGTGGTGGCTTTTGAACCAGGGCTTGAGCCATGAGTGCCAAAAACAAACAAGGCAGCCACACACTCTGGGTCAGCTTCTGGAGCCCATGCCTGGCTTCTGGAGTGCCCTGGGTGCCCCAGATGACGTGTGTATTTGCTGAGCCAATAATTCTGCCCAGTCCCTGCAGAGCTGCCCCCACAAGGCTACCTGAGGTCCTGAACAGAAGAGCTATGTCTCTTTCACTAGAGTTCCGGACTGTCCCTAGCTCTCTCCTTTGCCCTCCTCGTGACAGTCTGGTGACCCTGCGGCCTTGTTTTCTGCACCTGGCACCGAGTCCTCGGGGGCTTATCCTGCCATGGATTCTGAACCCCTTGAGGTGTGCATGAGCCAGGCCGTGCAGCCCAGACCCGTGGGGACCCGTGGTCAGCTGAGTGCGGGGCAGCTGCTCACCTGAATTGATGCCTGTGCCTGCCTGGCCGGTAGGAGGGAAGGGGAGTAGTGGGGGGCATAAAGAGAAAGTCTGGTTGGAGGTTCTGGTGGTTGAGGAGATTCCATGGGGGGATTCTGGTGGGGGGGGGTCTGTGGGGGAAGTCTGATTGGGGGGCTCCAGTGGTTGAGGATTTTCTGGTGGATTCAGTGGTCAAGGGGGTGTTGGGGAGGGTGGGAGACTTGGTAGTGGAGGAGGTCTGGTTAAGGGGGCTCCAGGTGTTTAGGGGAATCTGTGAAGAGAGTCTTGTGGTGATGGCAGGGGTCTTGGGGCTGATGGGGGTTCAGTGGTGGGAGTTGTCTGATTGTGGGGGCTCGAGTGGTTGGAGGATTCTGCATGGGAGCTTATGGGGTGGGTTTAGGGGGTTAAGTAGTCAGGGAGACTGGTTATGGGGGCTCCAGTAGTTAAGGAGATTTTGTGGGAGGAGATGTGGTTATGGCAAGGTGTTGAGGGGTAATGGGGATTTGGTGGGGAGGGAGAATTCAAGTTGAGGGGATTCCATGGGGGTTCTGGTGCAGCTGAGGAATCATGGAGGGTGCTGGTGGGAGGCAGTGGGGATTAAAGCCAAGAGACAAGATGTGCAGATACAAAGGTTCTTAGCAGAGAGTATGTCGTGTTTTGGAAGCCATCAGAGCTGGTGCGGCTGGGCAGAAGGGGCCAGGAAGAGAAGGGCCACATAGATGGATGGAGGGGACAGTGGCCACACCTGGCTTCCATGGCACAGTGTCCAGGCAGCAGATGCTGTATTTTGTGTTCATGTGAACATTCTTTGCTAGGATGCCCTATGTTTACCTCCCTGGTGTCCCAAACGGGACAGGGGATCACCTCACATTTCACGGTCACTTGGGGCCCCTCAGAGGACATGTGTCCAACTCCAGGTAGCATCTCCAGGTAGCATCACAAGGAGTGATGTGAAGTTATTCGTGTGTGTGAGGTTCACGGTGGCCTCCATGCAGAGAGCATGTCCCAGGGAGGCAGGATGAGAAAAGGAGGCTGAATGCAGCTCTGCAGAAGGAAGCAAGAGCAGCACTGCCTGTGCCCGAATGGTATTGATCACTAATCTGAAGATGGAGCAACAGAGAGGACCATGGGAGGTGCTGCACAGAGTGTTTAAAGATTGCCTGCTCAGACAGAGGTCTTGCAGTGGAGACACAGTTGCCCCCTGCAGCTGTCATAAAAGTGTCATGGTTTGACGTCTCTGGAAACTCAGATAGACCTGTAGAAAGATCCACTTGACAGTCAAGCATGCTGTACCTCCATAGTAACACTGCTAACTAGTCATGTTAAGGCTACAAGCATTAAAGGAATCTTGGGAAGGAAGTTGGTTTGGGAAACAGATGAAGGCCCTAGAGACACCCTGCAGTCAGAAGGCAGCATGTGAACAAGGCACACCCTTAGTCAAGGTGTGGCTACCTCTGTAGGCTAATGCAAAAATGGATTTTTCTGGTATTTTCTCAGAGTCATTTGCAGACCAGCACTTCAGAAGCCACATTGCTGTGATAGACAATTCCCAGTCATGGTGCCAAGGCACTCTGTGATCTTCAGGCACTGCTGGATTCCAACATGTCTTCTCAGTATTTAAAGAAAGATGCAATAGTCTCACTATCATTTTGGCATCAACCCCATTCCATTTGCAGTCTCTGACGTCTAAAGGCTTGAAACCATCTGAGTCATCCTCTGTCCCACACACTCAGTTCTTATTTTGGAGTATCTCAAGTAAACATTTTCCTCTCTACTTTATTTGTGAATCTTTCCAAGGGTTTGCTTTCTCAGAAGTGGCACCCAACTCATCCAGTTGTGCACATCAAAAGCCTAGACATCCTTAACACCTCTCTCCACCTCACTTCCCTACACACACTCAATCCATGAGTCAAGTCCTATCAATGTCACCTCTTAAAGAAGCCTTGAATCCAGCCACTTGCTGTACCTCCATCCAGTCCAAGCTCCCGTCATCTTTCATGCAGATGTCAGCAATAGTTTCCAAACTGTCCACTCTATTCATTCTGGTCTCTTCTCCTCACTATATCTAAAGCACTTTTTGAAGATGATAATCTGATCATGTCACATGTTTTGTACATTTTCCCTCACTGTTTTCTGTACCAAGGGCTTTAAAGATTCTTATAGCTTGTTTATGTATCTCCTATCAGAAAAAAATCTCCCATGGATAACTATAAAGTCTGGGCAAAACAGTAAGTAAGAAAGACTTAAGGCAACTAAGAAGTGAACAAAAATAGGGTTAGAACACTTGGAAGTAAACACTTGAAAGAAGAGAGTTGTCTGGCTGACTGTTTCTGTTTTTTGTTTTTAATAACTTTAGGCCAATCTGCTCCTAGCTATATTTCTGATGGAGAAATCACAGTCTTGCTGGTTTGAAGAGCCAAAGGACAGGGTTTGGGGAAAACACAGCTACTGGAATATGAAGAGGAAAATTCCAGAAAGCAAAGAGCCAGAAAAACAGAGCCCTAAAATCTATATCTAATCTTCACCCAGATCTCTGGCAAATCTTGAATCATATGTACTTAGGACAGACTCCAAACCCCTTAGCTAAGGCCAAAAGCACTGAAAAGAGCTCTACCCTCATCTAGTGAGACAAAGTTTACAGTTTAGATTAGTTAACTGCCTGCTTGAAAACAAAAACAAAAAGGCAATACTTTTCAGAGGAGCACAGTTTCTGCAATGGATCACTCACAATAGCTAGGATGCAATCCAAAATTACTTGACATATGAAGAAGTAAACATGATTTCCTCTTAAGAGAAAAGCAGTCATTATAACTGTGCTCAAGGATGGAATGAAAAATACGATCATGAAGAATAAAAAGGTAGTAAATTTCAGCACAGAAATTGAAATTTCTAAAAAGAGAATCAAATGAAAATTCCAAAACTGAAAAATACAGTATATGAAATTAAAAATTCACTAGATAGGCTAACAGAAGAGGAGAGATGGCTGGGAAACAGCCCATAAATATACAAAGATAGACAAATACAAATTATCCAATTTTAAGAACAGAAAAAAATGAATTTTGAAAATAAACAAAAGATTTAAAAAATAAAACAGAGATTTGTGGGGGGGAAATGGTACGTACAGTAAGTCCCCTACGTATGAACCTTCAAGTTGTGAACTTTCAAAGTTGCCAAATGTACATTTGCATGTCGAATCACATAAGTTAGTTTATGTATTTGGCATACATTGTCATGTTCATGCATCCTCTACAAGTGATTATGCTTTTGTGTACTTTACTGTACAGGAGTATATATATTTTTTAATGTATTATTTGTGTGAAAAGTATTATAAACCTATTACAGTATAGTATTATATAGCCAATTGTGTTAGTTGGGTACCTAGGTTAACTTTGTTGGACTTGAGAGCAAATTGGACTTATGAAAGCACTCTCAGATCAGAATTCATTCATATGTAGGGGACTTGCTGTACAAGTAATTAGAGTCCCAAAGGAGGAAAAAAACTAATATTTAAAGAAATAAATTAAAGAAGATCATAGAGTGCCAAAATGATTAATTCAAAAAATATGTCTAAGGACATCACAGTCAAACATACCATAGTGAAGAAACAATCCTGAAGGGAGCCAGAGAAATGCTACGTTTGAGAGAACAGTGATTAGAATGACCACTGGTCTCATCAGGAACAGTGGAGACCAGAAGACAGTGGAGCAATAGCTTTAATAACTACAAGCCCTTTTTATGAAGAATGCCAAGACACTTGCCCTTCCCTCCAGCACCGTCTCACCCACACCTCTTATTTTTGCACAGAGGTTTTGGTGGTCATTATGCCCTTGCTGTGCCCTTATTTAGCACTGAGGTCTTGGTGGTCATTATGCCCTTGCTGGCCCGCCATTCCTCTCCCCTTTCCCACCTATTTTATTCCTGCTCAAGCCTTCCTGGACTCCCCACCTTGATCTGGCTTCTCAGTTGTTGACTCATAAAATCCATGTTTTCCTTAGAGCATTTAATTCATTTTGTTGTTAGCACCATTTCATTAATCTCTGGCTTCTCACCTAGACCTGTGAGAACTGGAGCCATGGCTATTTTCCCTTTCTAGCACCTTCCACAGAGGCTGGCATGGCATAGGTGTTCAATCAGTGCCCAAGAAAGAAAGGGAAGGATCACCACCATTTTTATTAAAATCATTTTTATTAAAATCACTTGACTGGACTGCTGCTGTTCCTTAACTTCCCTGAGTTCTCCCAGGAAATCAGAAGCCGCTTTGGGGTTTTTCACTTTTATTGACACACTGTATGCAAGACAATTGAAATGAAGAACCAGAACAAGTCAATCCTGTTAAATTTGTATCATCTGACTGACACGCTAGGGACAACAAAAATCACTTATTATCACATGTGAAAGCCAAGGACCCTGTGTTGGCCACCCATGCTTTTCTTTTTCTTTTTTTTTTTCCTGTTTAGTTTAGTGGCCCTTAAATCTATAGTGTAAACTGTGGCTGTTGAACCCTGAGACCCATCCTCACTCAAACACTTCTCTGGGAATGTTCTCAGGTTGGTCCACCCTCCACCATCCTGAAAGTTCCTATGGCTTCAGCAGTCAAATTTTGAACAATGTATTTAATCATTCTAAGCCTGATTTTTCTCATTTATAAAATGAAGCTTATAATAGCACCAATTTCGTGTAACTGACATGCATGAAGGCTTAGCCTAGTGCCAGGCCAGTAGTAAGTTCTTAATAGAAGGCAACTGCTGTGATAATTTTGTTTCTTCTCAAATCCTCCTACAATCTAGGATAGTGCTATCTACACACATTAAATGCCCACTGTGAACCATAAGCATGTGACCTTTCATTGGTTGCTGCATTTCAATTATCCCTTGAATCATTTAAAACTGGCAACTCGAGTTGGTATCCATGATGACACTGTTGATAAGAAGTGTCATAACCTCAACATCCCACTCCCTCAGTAAGGGTGTTTAGTAGGTACTCTTTGGTCAATGTTTTGCAACGTTTGTGAGGCTTCCATAGTTCTTTGGAAAACTTAAACTTGGAGAGCACTGACTATGGCTGGATCTTGAACTGCTGCTGAGTAGACTGCTGAAAAGATAGAATTGACTCAGCTCAGTGTCTGGAAATCAGCGAGAAATTAACAAATGTTTGGTACACTGAATTAAACTGAGCCCACCTTGAATGTTTCTTGAGTCTGACACTTCCACAGTCCCTTCCTTTCACTGAACTTTGTAGCTGGGAAGCCCAACCTTCCCCTCTGTCACTCACACACTCTGCTGTGTTTAGTTTCCTGGCAACTCAGTTCATGTTTGGAAGAACAGTCACTTCCAGCTAGTAAAATTAGAATATCCAATTTTTGAAGCCAGGTGTGGTGGATCACACCTGTAACCCCAGCTCTTCAGGAGTGAGACAAGAGGATTGCTTGGGTCCAGGAAGTCAAGACCACACTGGGCAACATAGCAAGATGCAATCACTTTTTTTCTAAAAAAAAAAAAAAAAATCCGATTTTCTGTGTCTCCGTCTTTCTAATAATTTTTAAATGGAGTTAAAATTTATTTAAAAGTCAGTGTCATCTGCTTGGGTTCTAATTAGGTTCTAATTGACTGCTTCACAAAATCAAATCTAGCAGAAAAACATCTCAAAATCTTTCCCAAAGAGTAAAAATTCTAGTCTTTTTATATAAATCAAAACCATCAATAAATTTCTCAACAAATTAGGTGCAGATATAGTACATGAAAAGAACCAGCTCCTCCCTGACCTCTCTCCATCTACTCAATGTACTTTTTCTATGTGCCTCTCTCTCTCTCTCTCTCTCTTTCTCTCTCTGATGCCCAGAGATGACACTCTGATTTGGAAGATGACCTCAGGGCTCTCATGCTACTTGGGGCCCAAGCAGTTCTGTGGTTTAAACATCTTCACAGCTGGTTATGTGTGAAGTGTGAAGGCAGACACAGTCATGATGCATGATGCCTTGTTTTTAAAACAAAAGACAGGTGGTGCAAAACAGAGGACTGCAGTCAGCAACAACTTGCTAAAATTGCTGTTAAACAGCTGGACTTGCTGGGTGTTAGCACTGAATTTTGAACAAGAGCACGTGTAAGTTGAAACATAGGAGGAAACATAGTAAGCACCAGGCAGTGGAAGTAACCCCCAGACACTTGTGGAGTGGACATGGATGGGGCAGCGCAGGGATGCCACACGAGGGGGCCAGTCACTCAATATGTCCTCATGGATTCTACTCCCTTTCTCTGATCCTGAAGTATTCCAACAGAACTACTAACACCCACGTCTTTGCCTATTTTTGAAGAGGAAAAGCATGCTGGTGTGTCCTGCATCACAGCCTCAGTGGATGACATCCAGTTTGAAGAGACGGCAAGGTGAGCGTCCCTGTCCATGCTGCTTCCTCCTGCTCTGCTGGTTCTTTTGAGACCTGTATTTGTGGTACTTGAGTTTCTTCATGCGGACTCAGTGATCTGGTTTGTTAATAACATAAGTAACATTCGGCCCAATGTAAATTGCTGAAAGGTTAATCATGGGGTCTACTTCCAGTGAACCCTGAAAGTGCAGGGTGGCCTTAATCCCCCAGGGAGATAGCTCTGGCTTCGGCTGCCCAGGGCATCAGGTGCAGCAGCTTCCTATAGGCTATCTCTCGAAGCCTCCTTCATGATAATAGGCAATGCACCAGGGTGAGTTTCATTGTTCCATTGTTGGCTGGGCACTAGTTCATCTTAGCACGGAGGACAAGGGGCAAAAGGCATCGTATGTGAGGGGCACACGTGCACTCTACCATTGCTTAGGTAGAACACATCAAGACACAAAAATTTCAAGCATACATGAAAGCAGAGAAGATGGTTAGGGCTAGGTTATCACCCCAGCTATGGCAGTAGCCAACCCACAGACTCTTCTGCTGCATCAGTGTCCTCTACGCTCCTCACACGCCTGGACTGTATCGAAGAAAGTTGCAAGTAGCATCTATTAATATAAATATGTCAATATATGCGGTCGCACATTGCTTAACGATGGGGATGCATCCTGAGAAATGTGTCATTAGACAATTCATTGATATGTAAACATCACAGAGTAATTTATACACACCCAGATGGTGTAACCCACTATACAACTGGCCTATTGCCCTAGGCCACGCCTGTACAGCATGCTACTGTACTAAATATAATAGGCAGCTGTAGCACACTGGTGAGTGTTTGTATATCTAAACATATCTAAACATAGAAAAAGCACAGTAAAAACATAGCATAAAAGGTGAAACACTGCCTGCTTGGGAGGTCACTCGGCATGAACGGAACCTGCAGAATGGACGTTGCTCTGGGTGAGTCCATGAATGATGGGCAGTAGATGTGAAGTGGATCACTGTCCACCACTGTGGACTTCATAAACACCGTGCACATAGGCCACACTAAAGTTATAAAAATATTTTTTCTTTCGTCATAATAAATCAACCTTAGCTTACTGCAACAATTTTACTTTATAAACTAAAATTTTTTAAAACTTTGACTCATAATAACACTTAGCTTAAAACACAAACACATTGTACAGTTGTATAAAAATACTTTCTTTCTTAATATCCTTAGCTTGGTATATAAGCTTTTTTCTATTTTAAATTTTTTTATTTTATATTTTACTCATTAAACTTTTTTGTTTAAAAGGAAGACACAAGCACACACAATGACCTAGGCCTAATAGGGTCAGATTGCTACTATCACTGTCTTCCTTCTCCATATCTCATCCCACTGGAAGGTATTTAGGGGTTTTTTGAATCAGGATACAGTTGATAGCTCTCACAAGTGTCTTTTAACATGCAATTTCCCCTTCCTTCTTTTAATTGCAGTTTATTTTTTAAAGAAGTCTGGTCATTCATCCTGTAGAATCTACTACACTATATCTGCTCATGGTGTCTCTGATTAATGTCACTTGTCCTTTCTATTTCTTGTAATCTGGTAAGTTGCATCTAAAAATTGATTTGATGAAGGTTTGATATTCTGATAAAAGTATCTTATGTCAGGAGCACATAATATCTCATAATCATAGCCTTGAACCTTAAGATTCAGATATTGATAAAATGGCAATATGCTAATTGTCATTTCTTCATTTATTTTCTGAAAAACCTCTGTAGAGAGAAACTCCCATGAATGACTCTGTCACCCTGAGGTCAAATGCCTAGGAAAGATAGGCCTCATTCTGTCCTTTATTTAGCGTTATCATGAATCCACAGATTTGAGCATACTTAATGTGTTTCAATTCACAGATATTCTTATTCTCACAGATGCTCACTTGCCCCATGTTGAGCAGTGGGGGCTCCTCTGTTTTGATTCATGAGTCCCGTGAACAAGAGCCCACAGCGGAAAGTCTTTACTAACTCCTTTACTCTCGGATATAAGATGTTTCAGGGTCATCTTCTACTTTTCTTCACACAAACTTGGAATCAGTTATTTCTCCCAGGAGTCCTGACTCCTTCCAATGGAATGGTAAGGAAAGGTCATGATCTGGGCAGGAAAGGTGCTCACTGATAGGAAGATGCTATAATTTCTAGGCCTACCAGTGGACAGAATCAGAAACTTTATATTTTTTAGGAGTATTTATTTATTTATTTTGAGTTGAGGTCTCACTCTGTCTCCCAGGCTGGAGTGCATTGGCACTATCACAGCTCACTGCAACCACAACCTGCTGGGCTCAGGCAATCCTTCTACCTCAACCTTCTAAGTGGGTGGTAGTAGAGGCACACGCCACCATGCTCAGCTAATTTTTGTATTTTTTGTGTGGTCAAGGTCTTGCTATGTTGCCCAGGTTGATCTGAAACTCCTGGGCTCATGTGATCCTCTTGCCTTGGCCTTCTAAAGCACTAGAATTATAGGCATAAGCCATCACACCTCGCCTGAAGAGTTTTTATTAATAAACTGCAATAGTTTAGAATTACATGGTTTTGCTTCATTTTCTTAATTTTGTGTTTATATCTGTTGAGGTTTTTTATTTTATGCTGAATATTTTGATAGTTAAAGACAAAGTTATTTGATTTAAATTAACATGTATATACATATATGTATATATTAATCAGTTTCAGAATAACCACACCAATATTATAACTGACAACATAATTATAGAAAGCAGTGTGAGATCATCTTTATCATTTCTTTCTTGAACTACATTTCATCATGTACAGTCAAATTGGTGTGTTTTGAGACAGATTTTTAGAAAGGAGGTGACTTGAGCACTTTTCATGGAGGGAGGATGTGTCAGGGAAGGGACAACAGAGGATAGAGCTGAGGAAGTGGGGCCCATAGCAGGGAGGGAAGGGCCTTGGGAGGATGGGGTCAAGACCACAGGTGAGCAAATCTAGGTCTCAGAGAGATCGCTCTTCTTCTGAAGTGGGAGGGTAAGGAGACAGTGGGAACACAACCCAACTGAGTTAAAGGAAGAGAATGGAGGGCTTATGCTGGGTGCACATGTACCTTCTGCTAAGGAAAGGGTCAGAGGTGACTACAGGGCCTGACACAGGGTCCTGGAACATCTCAGGGCACATGATCAGAGTCCCACTAATAGTGGGGAGTGAATGCGTCATCCAGCAACACGGAGGCCGCTGTGCCCCTTGTGAAGCGGATCAAAATGCTTGCTCCATTCCCTTGCTAACTAACATTTTATTTATTTATTTATTTATTTATTTATTTATTTATTTATTTATTTATTTATTTATTTATTTTTGAGTTGGAGTCTTACTCTGTCACCCAGACTGGAGTGCAGTGGCTGCTCCTGCCACCGCAGCCTCGACCTGCTGGGCTTCGGCAATCCTTCTGCCTCAGCCTTCCAAGTAGCTGTAACTACAGGCACGCACTACCATGCCCAGCTAATTTTTGATTTATTGTAGAGATGAGGTCTCGCCAAGTTGCCCAGGCGGGTCTCGAACCCTCAGGCTCAGGCAATCCACTCACCCCAGCCTCCCAAAGGCGCGGGATTACAGGCTGAGCCACTGAGCCCGGCTTAACATTTTAAAATAAGTGTCAGTTGTATGGACTTGCTGGTGTGTTTGTCCTTACTGCTTTTGAGGCAGTAGTCACTGTAGTCAAGGCACCTGTGGCCAATTTGGAGCTATGCCCAGTACATCTGTACAAAAGTCCTTTCTGCAATGGTCACAGAAGGACCATAATGGAGAGGGCCAGCTCGTTAAGTGTTGCTTTTTGTGAGTGACTTTCATTTCACAGCTGTCTTTTCTGTTGTCAATAACTTGGATTTTCCATTCATGAACTTAGTCCACATGTGACTCAGCTTGGATACTGTCCTTTCCATGTCTCATGCTGATATGTGACCCCCAGTGTTGGAGGTGGAATCTGGTGGGAGGTGATGGGTTGTGGGGGGCAGATCCCTCATGAGTGTCCTGGTGGTGTCCTCATGGTAATGAGCGAGTTCTTGCATCGTTTAAGAACCTGGCACCTCCTTCTCTCTCTTGCTTTCTCTCTTCGTCCTGCAACACGCTGGCCCCCTCCCCACCTTCTACCATGACCGTAGCTTCCTGAAGTCTCACCAGAAACAGATGTCAGCATTGTGTAGAACCATGGACCCAATACACCTCTTTTCTTTATTCCTCTAAGTTACTAGCCTCAGGTAACTTTATTCCTCTAAGTTACCAGCCTTTACAGCAACACAGATGGACTGATACAGTGTGGTAAGGTGGGACTGCTTTATGGCAAATGCTTTTAAGTCTTTACATCAGATCTGAAATGAAATGTGCCAGGATTACTGAGTTTTGTTGCTGTTGTTTTTTTCTTACTAGAGTTGGACAAGTGATAACTATCCGAGCTAAAGTTACTAGAGCATTCAGCACAAGCATGGAGGTAAGAGGTGCTTCTCCAATTTCTGCCTGTCCTGCACACCCTGTCATTGCTGACGAGGGCAGGAGAGGAGACCTGGAACAACATTCGGAGTTAGTGAGGCTCTGGATTCTAGAAGGCCCCCAAATCTGTAATCAGACTCCTAGGAAAATAACAAGCAGCAGGGGTTCCCCAGTCAACACCGCTGCTAAAATTCAGCACAACACAACATGCTATTTACACAGAAGGGCACGCAGACAGTGAACATGCAAGGAGACCAGCACCTCCTGGTTCTTGCAAGACATGGGTTCTTCGTCTTACTTCTTCTTCTACTATTGTTCCAGCGCTCCTTGTTCTCCATCTTCTCACCCCCAGTGGAAACAATTTCCATGATTAACTGGCTTTTGTAAGGCAGGACAACAGGACTTTGGTAAGAAGGTAACTTTAGAAGGGTTTCCTTCTGCATCCCCTTGGTTTCTGTTCTTCACCATTGTGGATACTGCGTACTTGGGGCTGTTGAGGCCTCTACCCTGGTTAAACGAGCAGGAAAGGAGATGCTGGGCTCATGTTGCACCTTCTGGGTTGGCAGGATCAACCTGAGTCCAAGGCCCTCAGGAGCCCAGCTCCATCAGCCTCAGCCCCAGGAGTTCTTCGATCCCTCTGTCACTAAGGCCTCTCCCTCCTCTAGAGGCTGACATGGTCTGAATGTCTGTCCCCTCCAAGTCTCTTGTTGAAATGTGGTTCTAAATGTTGGAGGTGGGGACTGGTGAGAGGTGTTGGGCCATGGGGCAGATCCCTCTGAGTGACTTGATGCCATAAAGAGTGAGTTTTCACTCTATTAGGTCACATAAGAGCTGATTGTTTAAAAGAGTCTGACATCCCCCTTTTCTCTCTCTGTTGCTCCTGCTCTTACCATGTGACACGCCAGCTCCCCTTCCTCTTCAACCATGACTGTAGCTTCCCAAGACCTCACCAGAAGCAGATACCAGCACCGTGTAGTACCATGAGGTAAATATACCTCTTTTCTTCATAAATTATCAGCCTCAGGTTCCTTTATGGCAATGCAAAATGGACTAATACAGAGAGTATGTGATGCCTCACTAGATGATATTGGCCCATTTGCAATACAAGTGCAAGGTGTTTTTTTGCCCCAAGAGTATGTTTTTTAAAATCAGTTTTACTGAAATATAATTGACATTAAAATTTTCCCATAATTCTACATTTAGAAAACCATTATTATGAGAAAGGCATATAAAATTCCCATCACCAGGCAAAGTCCTCTCATGCTCTCCCTCCACTTTTTTTTTTTTTTTTTTTTTTTTTGAGAGACAGGGTCTCACTCTGTTGCCCAGGTTGGAGTACAGTGACACAATCATGGCTCACTGCAGCCTCAAACTCCTGGACTCAAGCAGTCCTCCAAATCAGCCTCCTGAGTAGCTGGAATTATAAGTGCCTGCCTCCATTCTAAGCTAATTTTTTAATTATTACTTTTTGTAGAGATGAGGTCTCATTATGTAGGCCAGGCTGGTCTGGAACTCCTGGTCTCAAGTGATCCTCCTACTTCAGCCTCCCAAAGTGTTGGGACTGCAGGCATGAGTCACCCTGCCTGGCCTTTATGCCCCTTTGTAATCAGCTCCCTCTTCCCACAGCCCTTGACAACCACTCACCCATTTAAGGCAAGACCTTTTTTTGCCTTTTATTAAATTTTGCATAAATGGGATCATATAGTAAATGCCATAATTTATGTCTAATTTATTTTACTTTGCATGATGTTTTTTATTTCTGCTAGTTATCATTATATTGTTCTCATTCTTCTGTTTATTTGGGGTTTAATTTACCTTTCTTTTTCTATTGTCTTGGAGTAGAACCTTAGGATATTGACTAAATTTTTCTTTTTTTCAAATGTAAGCATTTAAAGTCATGCATTTTCTCTAGAGCATTGTCCTAACTGCATCAAAACATGTTATCATTTCCCTTGTGAATTCTTCCTGACCTCTGGACTATTTAGATTGTGGTGTTTAATTTCCAACCCTTTAAAGATTTTTCCAGACACATCTTTGTGGTTTAGATTTATAATTTAATTCCTTTTTAGGAAGAGAACATAACTTGTATAGTCTCAATTATTTCAAATTTCTTTAGACTTGTTTTATGAATCAGAATATGGCCTATTTGTGTGTGTATTCTCTGTTTGCTTAAAGAGTATGTGTGCTCTACTCACTGTGGGTGAAGGATTCTGGATGTCAGTGAGCTGGCTCATAGCACTGTGCAGGTCTTCTGGAGTCATGCTGATTTTTTGTCGACCTTGTTCCCTTGATTACTGAAAGGAATGAGGAGGTGTCTAGCTATAACTGCGGACATGCCTATTTTTTCCTTTCAATTCTGTCAGTGTTGGCTTCATATATTTTGAAGCTCTGTTATTAAATGCAAACACATGTAGGGTTGTTAAGTCTTCTTCATGTCCTGACCCTTTTATCATTATGAAATTTACCTTTGTATCACTGGTTTTGTTTCAAAATCTACTATATTGGATATTAGTTTAGGCACGCCAGTTTTCTTTTCTTTTCTTTCCTTTTTTTTTTTTTTTGAGTTGCAGTCTCACTCTGTCACCCAGACTGGAGCACAGTGGCCACTCCTGGCCACCGTAGTCTCGACCTGCTGGGCTCCGGAGATCCTTCTGCCTCAGCCTTCCAAGTAGCTGGAACTACAGGCGCGCGCTACCACACCCGGCTAATTTTTGATTTATTGTAGAGATGAGGTCTCACCAAGTTGCCCAGGCGGGTCTCGAACCCGCGGGCTCAGGCAATCCATTCACCTCAGCCTCCCAAAGGCACGGGATTACAGGCTGAGCCACCGAGCCCGGCCTGTTTTCTTTTCATTAGTGTTTGTATTATTTTTTTCCCCATCTTTTTATTTTAGCCTATCCTTATTTCTTACAGACAGCATCCATTTGTATGTTGCTTTTTTTTTCTTAAAAATTTTTTATATATCTTGGTATTTTTTAATTTTAACTTTTTATTTTTTTAATTTTATTTTAAAGATGTGGGATAATTTTTTAAATGTTTTTAAGATGTGGGGTACAACTCAAGATTATGTATATAAGTAGTCATGATACTCATGAAATTTGGACCTCCTATTGGTCCTCACTTCACCTAGTGTGGGATCAGGCACCCTTATTAATGTCATGAACCCTCCTTCCCTTCCCTGGCAGTTTCTCGCTACTGCCAATCCCTTTCTTGTAGTATTATGAAAAATGTTCAGGGTCCACTTATGAGTGAGAATACGTGGTACTCATTTCTTTGTTTCTGTGATAGATCACTGTGTATGATAGACTCTAAATCCATCTGAGTTGCTGTAAAGTCCGTAATTTTGTCCTTTATGGCTGCATAATAGTCCATCATGTATATGTACCACTTTTTTTAACCCCAGTCCACTTTTGATGGGCAGTACAGTTGATTCCATGTTTTTGCTATTGTGAATAGTGCTGCAATAAACGTGTATACAGGTATCTTTTTTGTAGAATGATTTCAGTTCCTCTGACTATATTCCAAGAAGGATTGCTGGGTCATTTGGAAAGTCAATTTCTAGATCTTTCAGAAATCATCATACTGTTTTCCATAGAGGTTGTACTAATTTATACTTTCACCAACAGTGAAAAAGCATTCCCTTTTCTCTGTATCTTCTCCAGCATCTGTTGTTTTATGAGGTTTTTTTGTTTTGTTTTGGGTTTTTTTAATCAAAGTCTCACTTTGTCGCCCAGGCTGGAGTGCAGCGGCATGCTCATGGCCACCCCAGTGTCAACCTGCTGGGCTCAGGTGATCCTTCCATTACAGCCTTTCAAGTAGCCAAAACTACAGGTTCACACTACCACGCCCAGCTAATTTTTTGATATATTGTAGAGACTAGGTCTCACCAAGTTGCCCAGGCAGGTCTCAAACCCCTGGACTCAGGCAATCCTCTCACCTCGGCCTCCCAAAGTTCTGGAATTACAGACTTGAGCCACTGCACCAGGCCACTTTTTTGAGTTATTAGTGGTGACCATCCTAACTAGAGTAAGGTGGTATCTCAGTATGGTTTTGATTTGCATTGCTTTGATGATTAATGACTCTGATCATGTTTCCATGTATCTGTTGGCTACTTGTATGTCTTCTTTTGAGAAGTGTCTATCCATATCTTTTGCTCACTTTTTAATAGAGCTATTTGTTTGTTTTCCTTTCAGTACGTTTGAGTTCCTTGTAGCTCCTGGATTTTAGGCCTTTGTCAGATATACAGTTAATATTTTTTTCCATTCTGTGGACTGTCTCCCTTGATGTTATCTTTTTCTTTGCAGAAGCTGTTCAGTTTGGTGAAGCCTCACTTGTCTCTTATCTCTTATGGCATGGGCATCGGGAATTTTGATCAGGAATTGTTTGCCTATTCCAATTTCTGTAAAGATGTCTCTTGCATTTTCCAGGATTCTCATGGTTTGAGGTTTTATGTTTAGGTCTTTGATCCATTTAATGTTTTGCATGGCAATAGGTAGGGGTCCTGTTTTTTTCTTATGCATGTGATCAAGCCAGTTTTCCCGGCACCATTTACTGAATAGGTTCTTCTCTCCCCAGTAGTTGTTGGTGGAGGCTTTGTCGAAAATGAGTTGGTTGAGAAATTGAGGCTTTGCTTCCAGGATCTCTATCCTGTTTCATTAGTCTATATGCCTGTTCTTGTACCAGTACCAGGCTGTTTTGATATTGTAGCCTTATAATAAAATTTAAAGTCTAGAAGTCTGGAACTACCTACTTTGTTTCTTTTGCTGAGGATTGTTTATGGATCATTTATGATTCCATATGAGTATCTGTGTTGTTGTTTTTAGGTCTGAGAAGAATGATATTGGTGGTTTGAAGGATATTGCAATGACTCTATAGATTGCCTTGGGTAGAATGGACATCTTAACAATGTTGATTCTTCTAATCCATGAGCATGAAATATTTTTTCATTTGTTTGTGTCTTCTTTGATTTCTTTGAGCAGTGTTTTGTAGTTTCATTTAACAATCTCTGCTTCTTAGGTGTAGTGTTTAACCTATTCGCATTTAATGGTCTATGTGGTGGAGCTGAACTCTATCATCTATCTATTAGTCTTCTATTTGTCCCATCTGTTCTTGGTTCCTTTCCCACCATCTTTTCCTGCATTTTTTCAAATGGAGTAATTTTTAGTAATCCATGTTATCTCCATGACTGGTGTTTTAGGTGTACGTATTTGTTTTGTTTTTTAGTGTTTGTTCTGGGGTTTACAATATGTACAGTTAACTTAACTGAGTCTACTGGCAAGTACCATCACACCCCTCTAAGTACAAGGTAATAATCTTACAGCAGCACACACAACTTCCTTCCACATCCTGGCCTTTGTGCCATGACTGTCATGCCTTTATACCCACACATGTTAGAGGCAAACCCCACAATACACAGCTATTATTTTTGTTTTACAGAGTCAGTTATCTCTTGTCATCAAAATAGAAAACTCTATTTTGAGTATGCCCACACCATTGCTGTTTCTGTTGCACTTCATTCCTTTGTGTATCTCCACTTTGCTTGCTGTCATTTTCACTGGTTGAGATATTCCTTTAACATTCCTTTTCTCAGTTTTTGTTTGTGTAAAAGTTTCTTTATTTCACCTTTATATTTGAGATATGTTCATTTTCCCTAGATATGGAACTCTAGTGTGGTGTTGTGTCCCCTTCACAGCAATTTAGAGGTCTTTCCCTCATCTTTGATGGTCTCTCCATCGGTTTTTGAGATCTTTCCATCATCTTTCAAGGTGTCTCTATCAGTTTTGGAGATCTCTCCATCATCTCTGGTCTCTCCATCATCTTGTGATGTCTTTCTATTTTGTGAGGTCTCTCCATCATCTTGCAAGGTCTCTCCTTCATTCTGTGAGGTCTCTATATCATCTTCTGTGGTCTCTCCATCATCTTTGGGCACACATAGTTCTCTGGGAAGTCATTCTTACCTGTGCTATTTTTTAAATGATATGTTTTCTTTTTCTTTGCCTGTTTTTAATATTTTTCTTGTCACTGGTTTTCATCAGATAGATTATGATGCACCTTTGGGTGGTTTTTTTTTTTTCCAAATTTATTCTGCTTGGGTTTTTTTGTTTTTGTTTTTGTTTTTTTGAGCTGTTAATGCTAGTTCTGTGGATTTATAGTCTCTAATAAATTTAGAATATTTTCAGCATGTATGTCTTCAAACATTTTCTCCTATCCACTCTGTTCTTGGTTCCTTTCCCACCATCTTTTCCTGCATTTGGATTATAGAATTTTAGACTGCTTGTTAGTGTTGTTCCACAGATCACTGATACTCTGGTTTTTTGTTTGTTTGTTTGTTTAATTCAGTCTTCTTTTATTCTATATGCTACATCTGTATGACTTATTTTGTTGTCCTCAACTTCCCTAATCTTTTATTATGCAGCATCTAATCTGATGTTAATCTTATCTAGTATGTTTAAAAAAAAATCAGATACTATGTTTTTCATCTCAGAAAGTCCTTTTTGAGTATTTTTATATCTTCAATTCTTTCCTCATGAAGCTCATCTTTTTCTCTACATTTTATGAGAGGAGTCAACAAATTATGGACCATGTCATAATTTTGTAATAATTATATTATTAGGAGTTAACAATTATGACCTATGGACCAGCTACCTGTTTTTATAAATGAAGTTCTGTTGGAACACATCCATGTCCATTCATTATGTTTTGTCTATGCTATCACAGTACATTAAGAGAGTTGAGTAGTTTTTGTCACAAAACTTGCAATATTTACTATCTAGCAACATTCTTTAAGAAAATATTTGCTGACTCTTGCTCTACATCTTTAAGTTCATGATGCCTATATTTAATTGCTGTTTTAAAGTGCTTTTTAAAATCCCATCATTTATGTCATTTGTTGTTCTATTTATATTACCTTGTACCTAATAATTTTCTTGCATCTAGTAGTTTTTTGTTTTTGTTTTTGTTTTTTTGCTTGCTGAACATTGTGAATCTTGCATTGTTTTGTGCTGACTTTTGTTCCTTTTTTTTTTTTAAAGAGTGTTAGACTTTTCCTGGCAGAAAGATATTGTTACAAATTGAGCCTTTAAAGATCCCCTTTGGATTCCTCTTTGGAAGATATAAAACAGTCTATTATAGGTTAACGTAGCACCTCTTCTCAGTTAGAGTCTTTTGTGGTCTCTATGAAAATGTAGGGCACTCAGTGAAGTCTAACTGGAGGGAATCGAGAGATGCCCAACCGTGTGTGAGCACTTGGGACTGTTTGTGTTATAGTTCCCTAGAAAGTATTTCTTCCTCAAAAGCTGTACTTGTCTGGACATGTGAGATTCCACTCTATGCAGGCTCAGGTTGATATTGACCCAAAGACTCCCATGCATATTCCTGAAATTCTTCCCTTTTGTGGCCCCCTCCTCTCTGGTACTCTGCCCCCCCAAATTTTAACTGCTTAGAGCGCCTTGAATTCTGGCTCCTCAATTCAGCACAGTTAACTTTCCATCTCTAACATAACTGGAGTGTCCTACAGGCTGGAAACTGGGGAGCTGCAGCCTCCTCTCATTTGTTTTTCCTTCCATGAGGATCACGGCCTGTGTTGCCCATTTTCCTGTGTGTGAAATAGATGTTTCCTGTACTTTGTATTATCTAGTTGTTTTTATGGGAAGTAATTCCAATCCCACCAACTCTCATGACACAGTGAAATCCCCCTGGCATGTGTTTTTGAGACATTTGGTCTCCACACACAACTGAGTTAACTGTTGATTAAAAGATAGTATTCAGAACTTGTCCAGAATTTTTATTTGTCTTCACCATCAAATATCAATTTACTTTTCATCTGTCTACTTCTCTAAAAGTAGAAATCTGTGTGGGATTGAGGGTTGTTGGGGGTTGGGAATAGATAGATTAGATATAGTTAATTGGGGGGATGGAATTGGCAGTTGAGGGAAACTGCTAGGGGAGGGAGGGGCATACTTTATCAACAAGGGTAACTGCATAATCAGCATCTGTATACCTAACCCTGAATTGTACCTCACAGCTTTAAAATAAACAAACAGAAGAAAATAGATAAAAATAAATGAATAATTAAATAAATATATTAACCCCCCCCCAAAAAAGTGGTAATCACCATCTAGTTAATTTAGGATTTACCCTGCAAATGCTAATTTGTATTTATGAGTTAAGTAACTTAAAATGAGTCATGGAATATTAATTATTTTGTCTATGCTGTACATGGTAAAGATATAGATGCAGCTGATCTTCACTGTTGATCACACTATGTTGAACTAAGAGGCCTGAGGGTACCTGCTATTTTTAAGAAAACAGTGTGACTTATCTGAGACATGTGGGGGTTATGTTTATCATTGAAAAGTAAGTCCCTGATTTACCAACACTGGCAACATGAATCCTCTGGATAAAGCTTTGGAGCTCTTCACTGCGGAGTCCAGTCCATTTCAGAATCACCATAGTGTCCTGGTGACCTTCTCACTCTCCCAAAACATTAGTCATGAAACAGAGCTATACATGCATGATGCATCTGTAATCCCAGCACTTTGGGAGGCCGAGGTGAGAGGATTGCTTGAGTTCAGAGGTTTGACACCAGCCTGGGCAACTTGGTGAGACCTCGTCTCTACAATAAATCAAAAAATTAGCTGGGTGTGGTGGTGCGCACCTGTAGATCCAGCCACTTGGAAGGCTGAGGCAGAAGAACCATGTGAGTCCAGCAGGTCTAGACTGCAGTGGTCATGAGCGTGCCACTGCACTCCAGTCTGGGTGACAGTGAGACTCCAACTCAGGAAAAAAAAAAAGCAAGATGCAACTCTGTCCTTGGTACTTTGGTGGTAAAACTCAGAGACTAAAGGCTAAAATCGTTATGGTACATCTCTCTGGTGGTTTTTAAGGAAGTCATGCATATCTTGCCTCAAAAGCCTACTTACTAAAAATGGAATTAGACAGGGTTTATCATAGAATGCCAAATTTTTCAAAATTTGAATATAAAACTGTAAGTATAGCATGACATTTTATATATTCATGCATATGTACATACACATTTCATATAGCTTTATATGAATTTAAATATAGATTTATATATAAATATATATATATTTATATATATTTATATATATATAAAGCTAGAAGAAAATGTACCTAAAGTATAATAATTATTGTCTGTGGGTGATGAAATTACTGATAATATTTGGACACTGATAAAATTTGGATTACTGATATATCTGGATAGTCAGAAATTTTCCATGGTAAATATATATTTTCTATATATATATATATATTTTCCATATATTTACATGGTAAATATATATTCCATATATTTACATGGTAAATATATATTTTCCATATATTTACATGGTAAATATATATTTTCTATATATTTACATGGTAAATATATATTTTCTATATATTTGCATGGTAAAGATATATTTTCTATATATTTGCATGGTAAATATATATTTTCTATAAGAAAAAGTTACTTGTTCAATTTTATAGAACATCATTAGAAGAGTAACATTGCTGAAAAATTCTGGTTTCATTTTTTAAAATTAAGGGAAGCAATGGTGACGTCAATAAAACTAACTTGAGGCCGGGCGTGGTGGCTTAGCCTGTAATCCCAGCAATTTGAGAGGCCGAGGCGAGAGGATTGCCTGAGCCCAGAGGTTCGAGACCAGGCTGGGCAACTTGGTGAGACCTTGTCTTTACAATAAATCACAAAAACTAGCTGGGCAAGGTGGCGTACATTTGTAGTTCCAGCTGTTTGGAAGACTAAGGTTGAAGGATCACCTAAACCCAGCAGGTCAAGGCTGCGGTGACCATGAGTGTGCCACTGCACCCAGCCTGCATGACAGAGTGAGACTTCAACTCAAAAAAAACCACAAAAAAATGAACTTTGATGCTGCAATCTGAACTGTTGCCTGGATGGCTGAGTGAGTGTCTGTTTCTTTTTCTTTTTATTCTAGATCAGTATCAGGGTCACGGTACAGGATGTGCTCACTGGTATTGAGAAGCTTGTCAGTGTGGCTTTCTCGACATTTGTAGTCAAACCAAATGGAAATGAAAAGGTAACTTTTCTTTGTGAAGAAGCATCTAGCATGTATCCATGGACATAATAACAATTGCGTCAGAATTATTATGGAAAAACAGACATTTCTTTTACCATGTGGTACACATTCCCAAGATTTGTTAATCACCAATATTTGTCACCAAGTCATCATTCTGTGGTAACAGCAGAAGATCAAGTGTACTAGAGAAAAGAAGATGAAACCAGTTTATAAAATACCAAGATACATTGTTTTAAGTGATCTGAAGGTTAATTCAGTTTTTTTAAAATATTGCTTACTGGTTTAGTTATTTTGTGATTACATAACTCAAAACTGAGTTAAAATAAGATTGTTTTTAAAAAGCTGGAGCAATTAGCAAGCAGCTGCATGTTATGAACCTATCATTTCTTAATACCTGAAGGAAAAGTGTCACCGTGACTGAGTTACTGAAGTTTCCACCAGCTCTGGGGCATCTGGGCAAAACCCTCAAAGAGCTGCAGTGCCTAGTGACAGTCCTGCTGGTGCAGTGGATCCCATAGGCTCCCCCTGGGCTGCTGGGCTCCTCCCTGGCTTTTTCTTCGGTGTTGGCGTACCTGCAAGAGGGTCGCCATCTAGACTAAACATCGCAATGATTCATCTAGGATTAGAATCATTTACTTCAAGGATAGCTACAGGGAGGGCAGTGTGGCTTCTCCCGGCCCGAGCGGCAACGAGGAACCCATTCTCTGTGCCTGTCATTCAGACTGCCACTCCTCCTAGCTGGGACAAGGCGTTGCCTCCTCTGTGCCCAGCAGAGGAACAGCAGGGCAGGAGGTCAGCACTGGGTTGGTGTGGCAGCCACCCATCCCCTGCACTGGTGTGGCAGGGACCCCACAGAGCTCCATACCCTGGGCTCTTTCCCCACTGTGGGTCCTAGTGCCAAACAAACCACAAATCAAATTAATATATATGTTTTTCAAACTGAAGCTCATATGAGCTGATTATATTATTTAAAATGCAGTTTTCTGGGCCACATCTGGGACCAATAACAGAATTATAGTGTAGGAATTTGGAAGCGGTACTTTGACAGGGCAGGGAGCCCAAGTCCCTCAAAATCTAGGATGCTGAGATAGACCTTGCCAATCATTCTGTTTCTCCTGGTATCTCCACCATCTCCAAACTCTTGGAAATGAGAAAGCCTGGGGTGGGTGCAGTGTCCCCACTTCTGAGAGTAAGTGACAAAGGACATGGAGGAAGAACAGAGTCAGCATTTTCTCCAGCCTCAGACGTCTCCCTCTGACTTCAAGGGTGTGTCCCCCACGTCAGTGCAACCTCCCCTCTGCTGAGTAGCTGGTTTCTGAAAATGTGAGATCAGGTGGCTTGGGATCTGCCATGATGTGCTGGTTCAGAGAACCCTAATCGTTAAACACCTCTCCCCAGTCAACTCATTGTGAAGACAGCCATGACACGTCAGCGGTCTGATTTGAGCCAGTAGGACTACTTGGATCTCTATCCAAAGTGAGTTTATTCCAGGATGAAACTGGCATTGATTAACTAGACTCAGTTCAGGCCAGATCGTGGAAGGACTCACAGGCTCCCACAGAAATGCTCGTGCAAGGCCTTCCTGAAGCGAAGGCAGGAGTCCAGCAGGAGGGGCAAGGCACAGGCCAGCATCAGGAGTCCAAGGGTCCAGGCGCAGTCAGCCCTCAATGTCCTTGTCGTTCACAGGAGATGAGCATCGTCGGGGAGTCACCAGGATGTGTGGCAGGTATCGTGGTTTCAGGAGAACTGAGGCACATATTTACCCAGCTGTCTTTATACCCTGTAGCCACACAAGTAAAACAGGACCGCATGAAGGATTAACCCGGCACACACCACCCATCCACACGTTTCCAAGCAGAATAGATGTGTTCTAGATCACCCACCTGGGTCTTCATCTTGATCTTGACCTGGGTCAGGACAGATGTTGAACGTCCTAAAAATGAGCTGGAGCCATCCCTGTCCAGATCAGGATGACCCTCCCTCACACAGGGTTCAGACAGGCATTCAGGGAGGAGCATAACCCTCGATTCTGTGGTGTCACATTTTCAGGTTTCTAGGGGATGGCAAGAGCTTTATTCTCATGTCCCAATGACTTCAGTTCACTTATTAGAGAATGTTTTCACGATGAGATGACATTTCTAACCTGCGAGTCCCTCATGGTACAAAACAGCTTTCTCTAGAACATATTCATTCCTTCCCTCTGGTAATTTTGTAAAAGATAAAAAAACACTTCTTGGTAAGAACTCAGGGAGTCATAAGAAAGTCCCTCTCTTCATTTGTCAATTTGAAGAATTTTTTGTTTTTGTAGTTCTATTGGAAAACTTTTAAATCAGGGAAAATTTACAGAAAAAAAGGCTTAGAACATGTATCTTATTGTGTAAAGTCATAATGAAGCTTATATTGATTTTTTAGTTTAACCCTTTTACTGTTTAACCCAAAGATACTTGCCAGCAGTGCTTGTGGCTATAGCATTTACCCGAGTTGAAAAAGAGAGAGTGAAGAGAATTACAAAATATAATTCTCTTCTTTCTTCCTTCCTTCCTTCCTTCCTTTTTCTTTTTTTCTGTGATTCTTGTTAGGATTAAAGACAAATTCTGTTTAGCAATAACTCCAAGAAAAGTTTTTATATATTATTTTTACATTGAAAACCAATCAGATATGCTCCAGCCTCAAAGGGCATGTTATGTAAAATTATATGAATGCAGCACTTTTTTTTTCTAAATAGGTAAAGGGTTAAAAAAATATTTTAAGAAGAGTTTAGTCCTAACATGTTTAGTTGAAAACACTCATAAGTGCTCTATTCACTTGAGTTACAAAACCATGGGGCCCTAACTTTGTGTTTGCAAAATTCATACTGTGCTTTCATAATTTAACAAGGCAATGAGAGAGATGTTTTTCTTTCTCTAGATTCATTTGAAGTCGATAACACTCCTAACCGAGCAAGACCGTGTAGAGCACGATCTGGCTTCCGAGAGAAGGAAGGTTCGATTACAGCACGAAGAGACCTTTCACAGCCTGATGGTGGAGAGTGGTCCATGTCACGTTCAGTAACTCTGCTCGCAGGAGCTTCTGTGGTGTGGCTGTGATTGCCAGGGAGTCTTGTCTGAGCGGACACACATTGGCACGACATCCACTGCTCAGTTCCACCCAGTGCGAGCTATCCATGCCCACCACATGCCAGCACTGGCTCATCACAAGAGGGGCAAAGACGGAAAGGAGGAGGGCTTTTGCTTTTGAGAAGCGTTCGGTTGATAACTGGAGACAAATACATGCATAGATCCAAAACAGCACAGAGAGTGCAGGCTCTGTTCTGCCTTCTTAACCCAACTCACTGCAGTCATCCACCATCCAGGTAAAAGTCGTTCTGCAAGCCGGGCTCGGTGGCTCAGCCTGTAATCCCGTGCCTTTGGGAGGCTGAGGTGAGTGGATTGCCTGAGCCCGCGGGTTCGAGACCCGCCTGGGCAGCGAGACCTCATCTCTACAATAAATAAAAAATCAGCTGGGCGTGGTAGCGCATGCCTGTAATTCCGGCTACTCGGAAGGCTGAGGCGGAAGGATCGCCAGAGCCCAGCAGGTCGAGGCTGCGGTGGCCGGAAGCGGCCACTGCACTCCAGTCTGGGCAACAGAGTGAGACTCCAACTCAAAAAAAAAAAAGAGAAAGTCACTCTGCAGAACCTGTCCTTGCTCAGATTTCAGCATTTGGGACTATGTCATGTTTCTAAGAATGCTGAATTGAATATGCCGCCAGGAGAGACAGCGGCAGCCAGGCCCCGCAACCCACTGTTACTAACACTGCGTCCGCCTTTCAGACCCCAGTGATGATGAAGAGGAAGGAACTGTGTCTACAAAGGGCACCTTGGTGCAGAGCCTCGAGCTGGTCCTTCCGCCCCATGCTAACCACCACGGAAACACGTTCGGGGGCCAAATCATGGCTTGGATGGAGGTTGTGGCCACCATTGCTGCAGGGTTCTTGGCTTTGACCCTGGGCTTGTGCTCTGGGGACCCATGAAAGAGAAGAGGAGGGTCTGGACTCAGCTCTTGGGCAAGTTGAGTAGGCCAAGGGAAGACAGAGGGAAAGGTCACTTGCATCCAATGAGAAAGCCACAGCTCATCTGCTTGCTCGCCTTGGGGTCTGTCTGTTCTTTTGTTTTAAGGAGAATATTGAGTCCTTGGTTCAAAAGCAAAAGTGGAAGGATAGTTTTTTATTGTTGTTGTTTTTAATGAATTGAAGTTTCACTCTGTCACCCAGGCAGGAGTGCTGTGGCACACTCACAGCCACCCCAGCATTGGCCTTTTGGGCTCCGGCGATCCTTCTGCCTCAGCCTCCCAAGTAGCCGTAACTATAGACACACAACCACACCTGTCTATTTTTCGATTTTATTGTAGAGACGAGGTCTCACCAAAGTGCCTGGATTGGTCTCAAACCGCAGGCTCAGGCAATCCACTTGCCTCAGCCTCCCAAAAGTGCTGGAATTATAGGCTAAGCCACTGAGCCCGGCTGGAAGGACAGTTTTTTTGTTTTCTGGGGGTTTTTTTGAGTTGGAATCTCACTCTGTTGCCCAGACTGGAGTGCAGTGGCCGCTCCCGGCCACCGCAGCCTCGACCTGCTGGGCTCCGGTGATCCTTCCGCCTCAGCCTTCCGAGTAGCCGGAATTACAGGCACGCGCTACCACGCCCGGCTGATTTTTTGATTTATTGTAGAGATGAGGTCTTGCTGCCCAGGCGGGTCTCGAACCCGTGGGCTCAGGCAATTCACTCACCTCAGCCTCCCAAAGGCTCGGGATTATAGGCTGAGCCACCAAGCCCGGCTGGAAGGACAGTTTTAAGACCTTTTTCTGAGTTATGTATATTGATCTTGTGACCTTGTGACTCACCGCAGTGAGAGTTTATGACAAAGTAAATGCAGAATAGAAATGGAGACAGCCTTTCCCCTAAAAATAGGGTCTAGTTATACGCCCTCCAAAGAGAGTATTCCTTATGTGGGGAAGGACACTTGTCCTTTGATCCATGAGTGAGTCCTTTAAGTGTGGAGCTGAAGAATAGTGTGGACATATCTGCCTCCCTCAGCCTTTCTCCAGCCTGGGCCTGTGATTCCTGAGTCCACCACCATGGGCTGTCAGGATGGGTATGACTCAGGTTAGAATATGAGGCATTGGTTTTGTATTAGGAGGTGCATCCACTGGGAATGAGGCCAGGGCAGAAATCTCACACAGAGCCGAAGCAGCCATGATGCAGGACCCTGGTGTCTCCTATGATATCTGCAGGGATGTGTTCTCTTGATATGTGCAGTGCAGTGGTATGTTTCCCTTGAGCAAGAGGGTGGTTTATTTAGAAAACAGACTGAGGACTTATCTGTTGTGGCAATTCATGGAAGGGTCAGCAGTTTATGAGACTCTCTGGACATGAGTGCTTTCTTTTCTCCCCCCACCCAGACTTCACGCTCACCCCCTCCTGAAGTCTGTGGACATGTTTAAGTTTCGGGGACCGTCCACAGTGGGAGACTGACTTGTCTTCAATGCCATTGTCAACAATACATTCCAGACCTGGTAATGTGTATAACATGTGCTCTGAGGCTGCTACAGACATACTCAGACTTGCATAGATGCATTTTTTCATTTTAGTTCAGTCTGGAGGTGACTTTAAAGTAATCAATTCCTTCTGGGTTTTTTGTTTGTTTGTTTGTTTGTTTTTCACTCAATCTCTAAATCCCTTGAACATGCACTTTAACTCTTTGTCCTGCTTGGGCCTCCTTGCATGGCGTGCAGGGAACAGGTTGAGTCTGTCTCATAAGGATGACCACATGTCCCAGCTGGCTAAGCCTGGCCCTGGCCCTACTTATCATGCTGGCATGATTCTTAACTCGTCCACTCTCAAAGGGTCTCGCTGACTCTGTTGTCAGTTGGTTCATGGTGGACATGGTGTGGACCACCACAAAGTCCACACCACTTCCCAGTTATTTTCTTCCTCTTGATATACAATGAAAATATTTGACTCGGCATTTTTTTCTTTTTAAATGTAAAAAAGAGTACCTGTGTTTCCAGGTACTCTAATTTCAGGGTTTGATTGTTTTTAATTACAAAAATATCGCTTTTAGGGAAGAACACTTGACTTTGGCACAGTTTAATCCCCTCCCCCCATTGTTACAATGTGTTCATGGATATAAAACCCCACCTGGCCTTGTTCCCACTTGAAAGTGGGAACACACTTGGGGGCTTGTGCAGACCCATTTGTGAGCCTAAACACAGAGTTTAGTAGCTGCACAGATTTGCTGACAACAAAAGAGAAGGCCCAGGCTCTCCTGCTTGTGTTACTTGCTTGAGATGGAGCGGGTGCAGGACAAGGCAAGCCTGACCTGTGGTTCTCCCTACTCTCTACTCTGTGTGGCCTCACAGTGCTGAGATTGGTGTCCGTGTGGAGGCCTTTGACTGCCGGGAGTGGGCTGAGGGCCAAGGCCGCCATATCAACAGTGCGTTCCTCATTTACAACGTGGTGGACAAGGAGGGCAAACTCGTCACCTTCCCCAGGATCAAGCCTGGCTCCAAGGTCTGTTGTGATCCTATGAGGCCCACACCCCTTTCTCTTGTGAGTCTTTCTTTCACACCTCACAAAGCAGAATGTGCCTTTTCTTCTTTATTCCCAACTCACTCAAATCATGTGTTGGAATGTGGGCCCCGGAGACCCCACCCCTGCTGCTGGGCCTCACTGCTGTGAGCAGCACGTCATCCCTGCATGCCGTTCCTGGGTCTTCTCCCACTTCCTGGCACTCATGCCAATGCAGTGCCACATTCGTGGGAACTGTGTCTTTCCCTCATCCTGATGTTGCCCTATTGCCAAGTTTACCTTTTTAAAAGACAGTAGTAAGACTTATGTGCCATCCTGATAACAGAAATGATGGTAATCTCCACCTTTAGAAAGAGGAAGAAAGCATCTGTAGAGGTTACGCATTCATCCCTGCACTGGCCCATGTGGGTGGAGGTCCTGACTCTGTGAGGTTGGCTCCAGTGAGACCCGCATCCCAAGGAGCCCTTTCCACTTAGGAGATGGACACTTGAGGACTGTAGCACTAACATGCTTGAAATGTATTGATTTTAGTTTGTTTTTCATTAAGGATTATCTCAGACGCTATCGGGGAGCTATTGCCCGCAAGAGAATCCGCCTAGGCAGGTACGAAACGTAGGAGTGAGAATTGTGTGGGGTCTTCTTTTATCTGGCAAGCTGTACCATCAGGAGCCTTCCCTGCAGAGAGAAGAGCTGGATCTTCCTGTCTGTGAGGGCTGACCACTGGTCTATAGAGACTGTCCTTCTGGAAGGTTCCACCAATGAAGGCAGCTTTTTAAAATTCCCAATTTCGGTTCTAGAAAGAATCCTGGGTACTGTTTTGTGCTAAATGCAGGGGGCAACTGCCATGTAACGTTTTAATTTTTTCCCCCCAGGAAATATGTCATTTCCCGCAAGGAAATGCATACACTGGGATAGAAGCGAGCAGGTGATGGTTTTATAATCAGGGTTTCCCTAGAAAAGTCATTCATTGCAAAAAAGACACCCCCTTTGCCTGACTTGGGCTGTGCAGACATGGCTTAGATGACAGGGGACTACATCAGCTAGTCCTGTCAAAATGAAACACAATGAGCAGCTGGTATTTGGTGCCAACCTGCTCCACTGTCTTGTTTGACTTCTACATTCAGTTCCCAAACTACAGACCAGGACGTTTTTGACTGTAAGATGTAAAGTGAGATCAAGTCTACTTGTTATACATGAATTATTAATCATGCTGAAGGGTGACCTGGCTTTGCTCAGGTTTCCAGTGCCAGTGACAGCAAGTTGTCAAGGACAAGTCACTGCATCAGGGTTCTAAATGAAGAGCCTGGAGTAGAAATAATGCTAGCCATGGTTGAGCTCTACGCTATGCCTCCACTAACAGTGCTCATTTTTAAAAAAGAAAACACCTGATCACACATCGATGCACTGAGCATGCAGCGTTTCCAACCTCTCTGTCCTAGGCCTCTCTGAGTGATGGCAACGTGGCGGCCCTCAGGAAGCTGGCAGCCAAGACGGGTTGGGAGGTGACCAGTATTGCAGAAAAGGTAGGACACGTACAGGCACTGCCCACTCACCACCCCTCATGGGTGGATGGTGCAGTGGTGGGTCTGCTGTGTCTCTGCTGCTGTGAAAAAGGTCTTTTGCAGAAATTCCTTCTGAGGCAGCATCTTTCCAACCGTCCATCCACACTGTTGACATGGAGTCCTTCCAATGCTGCACATCCCTGCCCTGAGCTCAGTTCATCACCCCCAACCCCCTTCTCTTCTCCATCTGCCTGAGCCCTACCTGCTTTTCAGGGTCCAGGACCAAGGTTTCCCTGAGATGCCTTACCCACCACCCCTGCCATGAGGACATCCCCCTGCAGCAATCCCTTAGTCATGGCTTATTTAAAATTAATTTGTCAAATATTGCATGCAATCTTATAGTATTACTTCCACAGCTGCCTGAGCTTCAGGCTTTATGTAGCAATTGAACTTTGTTCAGATGGCCTTCTTTCCCTCAGGAGATGATAAACTTCATAAGAAAGAAATCTTGTCTTGACCTATCACAGTATTTTGCAATAGGTTTAAAGGAACATATATCACAGGTTTAAAGGAACATATATCATTCAGATTTTAGTTTTATCTAACTTCAGAGGTTTCTTAGGAGACCTTCTGAAGTGCGTGCCCACCCAACCAGGCTGTAAGCCTCTGAGGGCCAGGGCTGATGATGCTTACCACCACACTAGGTCGGGGAGCACCTGGCACTCAGAACACCCAGGGACACTGGCCCTTTGGCTGTGTCCATGGTTCATCTGCTCTGATGTTCACCATCACATGTCCTGGTCTTCCTGGGCCAGCTCAAGCCTATGCCTGGTGTCCCATCATGGCTATCAGCAATACCACAGTGTTCCAGCTGGGATAATAATCTCAACATTCCTTCACTCTAAAATCTGAGTATGTTCAGAGGTTACTTCACAAAGTCTTTTCAACTCTCACTTTGACCTTCTCAATATGCTTTGCTTTTGGTTTTTGCTCTTATTATATCCTTGTCCTCACTATTAAATTCTTTCAGGGTCTTTCTTCTGCCTTGGGATCCAGTTTGGTTTCTGTCTTTAGGACAGTGATGCAGAAGCAGGTTTAGCAAACAGAATCATTGTCTATCTTCATTTCTCATAAAGATGCTTCAATGCCCGCTTTATCTGGTAAAGCCTGACTTTTGGCATCACAGCCAGCACCTGACATTCAAGAACAGCCAGGGGAAGAATAGTCATGTCTGGAATGAAGCAAAAGAATGTGTTTAGTGGAGTTGTAGAACACGTTAAAACTTTAATTCTTTAGGGGGTGTGGCCAGAAACAAGCCCAGGCTGATCAACTTGCTAATGCTGGGAGCAGCCATCAATGATTAATTCTTCAGTACTGTAAAAATACTTAGTAGAGGTCATTTTGTAAAAATAAAGAAACATTTCTGTGGTATCTCTGTTGAATTAGAACCCTACCTTTTTAAAGTTTATAATTATGATAAAACTCTAATGTCTAAAAATCTGATAAAAGGAAGTTTTTTCTTTTTGAGTCATTCTCCTCTTTTCTCTCACTTTTTACAGCATTTGTATATTGTTAATTTTAAAATATGGCTCTATTTTTAAAATCACCTTTTAGTTAAATAGTTCTTACAACACAACTGTCTGTTAAGAATCATACTAATTTAAGAGCTGAGTGTGATTGCCTGTAATCCCAGCTACTCAGGAGGCTGAGTTGGAAGGATCACTTGAGCCTAGGAGTTCCAGGCCAGCCTGGACAACATAGCAAGACCCTCATCTTAAAAAAAAAACCAAAAAACATATCTTAGGTTTTAAAATTAATACTTATTTTCAGTATAAATTAGTTATATGGTAAAAGTTTGTCCAATTTTGGAATGAAATTGGACAACATTTATGGTTTTAATGCATTTCATTTCCATGTATAATGATGGAGTTAGTTATGGTGGTAATACAAGGAGCAAAGTTGTAATTTGGAAACATCATGCATGTACCTGAACCAGGTGAAGAATAATTATAAGGTAGTTTATAAATGGGTGAGAGATTGTAGTGTTTACACTTTGTAAAGGTCATCTCTCAAGCAATTCAAAGCAAGACAGAGACAGCTTCAGGGAGGAAGGGATTCTTACATCCTTGAAGACAGTGTGAAGAGTGGACTACTGAGGGGGAGGAGGGCTTTCCTTGGCCTGGAAAGTTTAAGCCAAGTCCTTGTGGTGGAGATTAGCATGTCTTGGAGACTGACCTGACAGGTATGGCTTTCATTAAGGACTAGCTGAGGATATGCTGGGGAAATAATGGTGGAAGCCAGAATGACATAGACCAGCTGGAAACCTGTGCTGGGGACAGATCTTAGGACAGGAACCAGACCTGAGTGGGCTATTCTTGTGGGAGCTGAGGAGGGGCGGGCTCCAGAGCCCCACCTGTCCACTCCCTCCTGTGGTCAACTCCAGGTGCCTCCAAGGAAAAGCAGGGCTCCCAAGGCTTCTGTGGGAACTGCTTTTGCCTTCTTCCCCGCAGTGTAGTCTCAGTAACATATTTATCAAAAACGATAAAGAATTCTAAAAGATTTTGCTGTTTCCTCTTACACTATTTGTATAACTCATCCAAGCCCAAATCCAAATCCAAACAGACTCTTATTAGAACAAAATCCAGTATCACTAGTAAGATGTTAGCAGGCTCTAGAAGATTTGGGGCCTACTGTGACTGTCATAGAATTGTCAGGGGACTGACAATCCAGCCACCAAATGGCAAAGAAAACATTTGAGTTGGTTACAAAGGAATATATCACCTTCCTTCCTGAGCACAAAAGTGAACTCATTCCTTGGGACTAATTCCTCGAGGGCTTTTCTACTAAGCAGAAGCTGGCCTTTCTCAACAGGTTTGAAGGGAACCAAACTGCACATTTTCTTGTCCACAGTGTCTGCACAGTGTCACTGGCTTGAACAGCAGCTCACCAAGGACTTGGGGCTGCCCTTGCCTGCTGGAGTAAAGATCAGAGTCTTACTTGTTCATCAATACCAGATCTGACACTGGGCACATGAAGGGAGCTCATGCAGGGCAGACATTAATGGCAGAGGCTTAGTTGGATGTCCCCTTGGCCCCAGGATGGGAAGGCAACATGACCAGCAGTCTGAGGCAGCTCCCTAAGAAGCACTGTGTCGCTGCTAGGGCTGCTGTCACAAAGGGCCACAACGGGAACTTAAGCAATGGAAATCTTTCATTCCACAGTTCTGGAAGCTGGGAGTCTGAGAGCAAGATATCAACAGGGCTGGTCTCTCCAGGGCTGTGAGGAGACTGTCCCATGCTATCTCATGCTCCTGGTGGCTGCTGTCCATCTTGGTGTTCCTGGGCTTGTGGACATATCATGGGGTATCTGCCCCCACCTTCATCTTCACATGTGTTCTCCTAATGCACCTGTCTATGTCCAAGTTCCCCTTTTTGTAAGGACATCCACCATGTTGCATTAGCCCACCTGCTACAGTATGGCTCTATCTTGACATTTTACATATACAATGACCTGTTTCCATATAGGGCCACATTCTGAGGTCCAGGAGGCTAGGACTCCAACATTAGGCTAGTGTGGATGAGGACACAACTCAACTCTTTGCAAGTTCTCAGCAACATCCTACCCACATCATCCTGCCAGGGTACAGCATGGCCACCCCAAGGCCAGAACACGCCTGGGACTATGGAGCCTCCCTGGCTGCTGACTTCAACTCTAAGATTTCAGACCCCTGCAACTGGCTGAGTGTCCCCTGCCATTGCTCTGACCAGGGGACTGACAATCTCATCCTCTCTCTGGACTTACACTGGTGACCCTTGTCCTATAAATCCCACACTGGGGCAGAGTCAGGCAGGCCCATGCCAGTAGGGTGCATCTCACCAGCCAACAGAAGCCTCATCCAGAGTTCTCTCAGTGCTTGATAAGTGGCCACCCGCTTAGTTCAAGTCTTCCTTGGCAGACTGGATTTAAAGATGGACCTGGCACCAGGTTCCCTGGGAGAGGTTAAATGGCATTAGCAAGTCATCCCTCGGTTCCCTTCTGAGCTGTGTTCAGTTAACTTCTCACTTCTCATTCTCTTACTGATGGTACTTTTGTTAAACACAAGTTTCTTCTCCCAGTCTGATTTCCCCTCTGCTCAAGTCCTTGGTGAGGTCTTAGCCTGGTGTTTGTCATCTTCCAGCATGCTGCCTGAGAATAATTACAAGGTGGCAGATTTCAACCCTAACTTCACAGTGTCCTGAAAGAGACAGAGAAAGTGGGCAGGGTGGAAGGTGCTCTTGGATGAACACTCATCTCTGATTATTGTCAAGACAGTGGAAGGACAGTACCGAGCAGGGCAGATGCACAGGTGTCGAGGTGTGTGCCCCTCACCTGAGGAATAACAGGCCTAAGCCCAGGAGCCGTCCCCAGAAGGACACTCCCCTCACCTGAAGAACAGGAGTCATCATCCCACCAAAAGGATCAGTCTTGGTGACTCAGGAGTGAGGGCATCTTTGTGTTTCAGAACCCTGTGGAGAGTTGAGTTGTCTGGAGGCAGCCGGCCTGCTCCCTGAGTCCCCAGCCCATTTGAAGACCACCTGATACCCTGGGGAAGCGTCTGGGGCTGGGCCTTGCTTCCATTCTCTGAGGGGAGGAGGCACTGGCCAGCCTTGCTGCCTGGTGACACCCCTGTTGTTCCCAGGTAGAGGCCAGGAAACACCACAAAGAGATGAAGAAAGAAAGGCCTGTTTCTCATTTTTCATAAGAAAAACTGTTGCAGGAGATTAAATAACCCACCCTGAAGTCACATAAGGTTGGAGGACACAGCACTGCAGCATCCTGGCCAACCTACAGGAACCAAGCCTGTAGAATGAACTCTGACGTTGCTTGGTGTCACTTCTGGCAGTGCGGGATGTCTTTGCCAGTGCAGTCCTTGACTACACATATGTGTGTGGCTTTTAATGTAAGGCCTCAGTTTCATTTGCAATTTAATGTTTCATTGTTCTCTTTTAGATAAAAATATACACTCTGGAAGAGCAGGATGTCTTGTCTGTTTGGGTTGAAAAGTGGGTGTCAAACCCAGTGCATTTGGCCTATCGCCTCCTGTCTGACTTCACCAGGCGGCCTCTGTGGGATCCCCATTACACGTAAGAACACATTTCAAGGCATTTCATAAGAAACTTGATACCACGGAGAAGATGTCTCCATGTTGCAGTCACCTCTGTTGCCCAAACGTATGACCTCTGTTTCATTAACTGAAGAGTTGTTTAAAGCTTGCTCTGCACAGAATACTGCAACTGGCAGTATTGAGAGATGCAAGACAGAAGTCACTGTGCCCACATATTTATCATCTGCCCTGAGCTGACAAGTCTCACCCACATCGACTGCAACCCTCCCAATAATGGCAAGGCTGGCAGGGTTCCCTTTAGCAGAGAGAGTTCTAGGACTTGCCAAGGTCACACAGGCAGGATTGCCACAGCCCAAACAGGAACCCAAGCCTGTGAGGTTCTGACTTCCACACTCTACTGCAATGCCCAGCCTCCTTACCCTTGAGACATGAGGATCTGCCGTCCTTCCTGTTTGGTGTTTCACCGGTCGTCCTGCTCCAGGTAGTGGCCCTCCCTGGGGAGAAGTCAAGGAAGCAGTGATTCCCGCAGGAGCAGTTCTTCTTCTCTCCCTGTCTGATCAGTTTCTGTCCTGTGGGCTCACAGTCTTTCTCCAGCCACTGCTCGCCTCCTGCTCCTTCATTCAGCCTCCTCTGCACTCCCCATTCCTGAAACCCAGAACAGAGACGAGCACCTTGCCCACAACCTGGTAGGCCCAACTGCCCAGGGCTCCCCCCCCCACCACAGTACCCTGCAGGGCCTCACATATACCTGTGGGTGGGAGTAGAGGATGAGATGCACTTCCTACTGTGTCCAGGTGACTGCTTCTTTCCTAAGCCTGACAAGGTAGAGTTTCACCTTAACATTTCTAAAACTCACTGTGATTGTCACCAGATAGAAGATAATTAACACCACCACAGAGAAACATCCTGGGACCCTAGTCCCATGTGCGTAGATACCAAAATGGCCCATCCTGGCTAATGCTCTCACAATGAAATGTGCGGAGAGAAAAGGAACACTTCCTAGCTTTCTTGCATCAATTTTGTAGATCCCCTGTAAGTTCATAGTTTTAGGAAGAACAAACTACATTCACGTCATTCTTTTACCATGTCCCTTCCACCCTTCTCGATGCCACTCGACATTCTGGCTAAGCTGAACTCCAGCGAATGGAGACAAGGGAGTTAATTCTGATTCCACCACCTGCTATCCTTCTCCCAGGTCCTGGGCCAGGTGTGTTCACTCAGTCTTCACAACAGACCCCTGGACATCACACTTACATTTTACAGGAGAGGAACAGAAAGACTCGCCACACGCTTCACATCACAGAGTCAGCAAGTGGCAAATCAAGAGTCGAAAGGCAGCGTCTGACTCTAGACTTGGTGCTCTCTCCAATACGCCACCTTTCTTGTTCTAACAGTCCTTCTCGGGCTGTTAAGTAACTCACCAGTCTCCAAGACACTTCTATGGGATGCCAGGAGACGACTTGTGGAGAACAGCCTAGTGTCTTTCTCTGCGGTGTTGAGGCCATGTCCCTCACATCAGAGTCACCCTGAGACCAAACCACTCATTCTATAGGCCCACGAGCAGCAAGGCTGGCTCAATAGGGGAGGTGGGTGAGCTGAGGGGCAGATGCGGACACCAACAACGGGGTTATGCCGGCAGATGAGGGAAGCGGGTGCTGGCACTGGAAATGTGTGCCGCTTTTTATTGTTGTTTGCACACAGGTCCTGTGAAGTCATAGATGGGGTGAGTGAGGATGACCTATTATACCACATCACTTATCCTGCAATGAATGGCGATAAGCCCAAGGACTTGGTGGTGCTTGTGTCATGAAGAAAGTCTCTCAAAGACGGGTGAGTCCACATAGTCCAAGTGTTAAAGCAAAATTTATGGCATAGTATAGAAATTAAAAGTTGATAAAAAAGTAAGGAAGTCAATGTCAGCATTTCTGGCCTTGAATGATGTTCATTTAGATTGTTTCCAGATGGATCTTCAGCTATTATCTATGAAATTAATAATCATCTATTGAGTGCCAACTCTGTGCAAAGGACCAAGAAAGACTCCCAAAACAGTCCCCTTGCCTTAGGATGGAAAACTGATATTTAGGAAACCTTCTAACCATTCCATTGTCAGTAAAAATGCAGTGGAAGCCAAATAAAACACCAGGAACTGGCCTAGGATTCACAAAGGCTCACCTGCGATAGGCGTTGGCCATGGGTGTAGCCTGGGGCTGTAGGTTAGGGCTTCCCTGTGCCTTGAACTATAGAGCATGCATTGGTTCCTCAGGGGGTGCCCCAGATTATCCCCCATGTGTGAGTATGAAATGATGTTCAGTGCAGGATCATTTATTATGTCAAAAGATACAAGAAATAAACAGAAAATCCATCTTCTACAGTATGGTAAATTTGTGCAACAGTTCTATGCCATTGTCACAGAGGATGAAGCAGTTATAGAGGACTGACAGAGAAAGATTCGGTGCTAGATGAAAAATCAAAAATAGACTGTAACATGATCATATCTATATAAAAATATGTGTGTACATGTGCTCACATAAATGTCATTGTTATACATTTATAAAAAGGTCTAGAGGGCATTTATAAAAAGTGTTAAGGAACATCACTAAGGGTACCTGATCCTAAACCAGAGGAAGTGAGGACCAGTGGAGGCCCAAACTTCAACTGCACATAGACTGCTTATGTACCTAATCCTGACTTGCACCCCACATCTTCATAATAAAAAAAAGTGTTAAGGGTGATCACCTCTAGGGTGGGGAATGGGATGGGATTTGGATTGGATGGGGGGAAAGACTTCTGTTTCCTCGACTATAGAGTTCTCTATTGCTTGAAGGGTTTCTTCTTAAAAACAATGAGTATTGTCATGTCGTGTGTGTGTGTGTGTGTGTGTGTGTGTGTGTGTGTGTGTGTGTGTGTGTGTGTGTGTTTTGAGACAAAGTCTCATTCTGTTGCCCAGGCTGGAGTGCAGTGGTGTGATCAGAGCTCACTGGAGCCTCAACCTCCTAGGCTCAAGTAGTCCTATCAGCTCAGCTTCCCAAAGTGCTGGGATTGCAGGTATGAGCCATCCTGCCAGGCTTGGGTATTGTTTTTTAATTTAAAAAGGGAAGGAGGCTGAAATTACAACCCGTTAGGGCACAATCAAACTTTAGTTTGGCAGCTGATGGCAGCTTTATGGAGTTGAACAAAGTTTTGTAATTCAGGGGCAGAAAACCCCTGTGGCCCTTATTCCTGTCCCCACCTTGAGCGCAGCCACAGAGAATGTTGTCTGAGACAAGTCACCCAGAAGCTCTGGGCCTCCACAAGTTCACTTCTACCTACATACAAATATTGCATGAACTATACGAATGTGTTTTCTAGCAACTGACCTTCACATCTCACAAGAACTCAGTAAGTTTCTTCTCCTCTTTCAGGGACACCTACACAGTGGCCGTGAGGTCAGTGGTTTTGCCGTCAGTACCACCATCCCCACGGCATGCCAGGAGTGAGATCATGTGTGCTGGTTTCCTCATCCATGCTGTTGACTGCAGCTCATGCATCGTAGGTTGAATTCATTGGCTCCATCAGATATAGAGACAGCTCTTAACTGTCCCAGGCATCCCAGTTATAATCTAGTCCTTTGTGTCCATACTAGGGGATACTAAGGTCATCCCTTTAGATCAGCTATTCCTGACAGTCCCCAGATTAGGGTCATAGCCCCCCACACTCACAATATTCAGATCCCTGCTTAGAACAGTTCCAAGTCAGTAAGAAATTAACACACTATGTTTTCTTTTTGAAACAGGTGTCTTACTTTAACCATATTTCTGCCAATATCCTTCCTTACTTTACTGGAAATCTTGGTGGCTGGTCCAAGTCCATTGAAGAAACAGCAGCCTCTTGTATACGGTTCATAGAAAATGCTACTAACGACAGGTTTACAAGCACATTGTAAGTGGTCAGCTTTCGATTACCTGTCACTCAGCTTCCCACTTTAATTCTGGGCACACTTGGCCCTGACACTTGGCAAGCTTTGGGGCCACAAAATAATGTAATATCAGTCTAAGCAAAATGAGACTGAGAAGAGGTTTGAAAACAGAATGTATCTCAAGTCAGATCCCAGTGATTGGAATCAGCATCCAACGAGCACTGCTCTGGGCCATCTGTGGCTCTGCCTCTCCGGGGGCACAGAGAATGGGAGATTGCCTAGATGCAGTATTGTATGTCCTATGAAATGGCACAAATTTAGTTCAGATTATCATAAATGTTATTGAGCTGCAGAGATGGAATGTGTTTCATTTGAAATTAAAAAAAATTTAATGACAATTTTCTAAGTTGATTAGTTGATTAACGTGTGGCGTTAGTCTGTGTGTGGCATTGGTGTGCGTGTGGCATTGGTCCACCTGTGGCAGGAGTCTGTGACAGGCGCGTCTGATGAGATTTATTACATATCCCAGAGCTTTAAACTAGGGAGACATTAGGCATAGGGGAAACCAATCAATTTCAGTAATAGGAACAACTTTGCTAATGTCATTGAACACATATCCCAGGTGACCTGGTGTCAATTGCTATACACACACACAAAGTTCCTGAAAATGTGACATTGTAGAGAAAGAGAATACAACCGCAACTTCCTTCATAGCCACAACACGAGCATTTTACTCTCTGGACCTCAGCACTCACTATACTACCCTGTACTGGGTCTTCACTCACAAGACAAACCAGAATACATCAAGCTAGCCTCCTTTACATCAGTGGTTGCCAACCTTTTTGGTATCAGGGACCGGTTTCATGGAAGACAATTTTTCTACACACTGGTAGGGGGGAGGATAGTTTCAGGATGATTCAAGCACATAACATTTATTGTGTACTTTATTTCTATTGTTATTACATTGTAATATATAATGAAATAATTATACAACTCACCATTTAAAAAAAGAGGCATAACAGGTGGGCCACATGCAGACTAAAACAAGTGTCAAATTCTGACTTAAAGCCTGCCACCAGCTGCAGCTGTGCAATTTGAAGTACATCAACTCACTTACCACTCACTGATAGGGTTTTGATGAGTCTGCAAGCGACTGTTTTATTATGGTCTCTGTGCAGTCAAAGCTCACTACTAATGTTAATCTGTATTTTTAACCACACCCCAGCACTAGCATCACCACCCCAGCTCCACCTCAGATCATCAGACATTAGATTTTCATAAGGAACATGCACCCTAGATCCCTCACATGCTCTATGAGAATCTAATGTCATGGCTGATCTGGCAGGGGGCAGATCTCAGGCGGTCATGTGAACAATGGGGAGTGACTGTATATCAGAAGAAGCTTCACTAGCTCCCTGCTCACCTCCTGCTGTACAGCCTGGTTGGAGACTCCTGCTCTACACTATGTGTTTCCAAGGTGAAGATGTCCTCTATTGCTGTTTGGAGCAGCCAACAGGCAAACACAGCCTGCTGATGGTTTGTGAAAGGTCCCCCTCTGCGTTGCTCACCCTATCATCCTTCACACAGCCAAGCCTGGTTATGAGAACGTTTACTTGTTCTGTGGGTGACTGGTGTTCATTTATAGAAACTTTGGGCTGTTCTGCTACTTAATGAATTTACATTTATATGTAGTAAGAAGAGTGGATATATGGATTACAATAACTATGCATTATATTCCAGAAGTAGAAAGATTTTGAGAATATTTTTATGTTTTAAAAAAGTGAACAAAGTTAGTAATAAAGGGGTTACACTAAGTTAAAATTCTATATGCTAAAATGTCAGACCTCACTTCCAATAGCGATACTTCCAAACACTGTCTGCCTAGGCTAGGTCTTTGAATTTATATTTTTTGAAATTTTTCCCTGAATAGTGACAGCAACATTATGAGTTTGGAGGAGTAGAGTGACTTTAACTGGATTGCTTTGAGACATAAAAATGTTGCTCATCTGATTTAATACATGAGTATAATCTGTACCTGCATTCTCTAGCCCGAGTCACATGTGCTATTTAGCTTAAATACATGTGAAAAATCTGTTCTTCTACCACCCCGGCCCCACTTCCAGTGTGATTAGTCAATCTGCTAATCACTGGATGGGTGGTACAGACACCAAGCATGTCTGTTCTCAGAAAATTCTGGAGACAGTGCTGGTCCACACAGCCTGCCCAGTCTTACAGCAGCAGGCCCTGGAGGCCTCCTGTCTTTGCCCGTCTCAGTACCAAATTGTCCCTCCGACCCTATCCAGAAGATTTCACTTTTGTGCTTCTGAACAAAAACACAGGCCTCACCCACCTGCTCTTCCTTGGGTCATTTGTCCCAACCACATTGTAGCACTCACTTGTGGGACACTTAGACTTGGAGACCCAATTGGGCCTGGGAGGGAAGCCACAGCAGGGCATTAAGGCTGTAGCAGAAACTTTTACCACACCCCACATCTGGTGTCTTGACAATGACCCAGGTACCTGCAGCATTCCAGTTGTAAAACTCAACAAGAGCTGACTTTGTGCAGACCCTTCTAGACACTGTGGTCCCAGCAAGAAGCAGAAGCGAGCTGATTACACCATAAAGAAAATACATGATGCAGGATACTAGAAGGTCTGTCACATGGGAAGATAAAGTGGGATAGAGATGCTGAGTGTGGAGAGGGTGGCGTGAGGGGGCGCTGATATTTTAGTAGGTGGCCAGCACAGGCGCCACTGAGGGTAGAGGGGGAGAACTGAGAGGGTCTTGGATGCAGTGAGCTTCCTACAGGAGGACTGGCCTGGCAAAGCCCCTGGGGGGTGGGGGGGAGG